AGGCAAACGGAAAATTACCCTGACAAAAAAGTGCACAAAGGATACTTTAGAACAAATGGACAAAAAGCTCATTGATGAACTTAACATAACGAATGAAAAAAAAAAACGAAAGAAGAAATTGGCCATTATCTCTGATCGTAAGGGAAAGGGAATGGCAAGTTACCCACTGCATCTTACAGGAGGTGAGTTTATCACAGAAGCCAACTCAAGCTACGAGGAACTGTTAAACACCACCATAAGTACTGCAAATAATCACCATGAAAATGATTTGATTATATTTTGGCCCAATAGGTACAACAAACAGTTAACTGACAAACTAACTACAAAAGTGAAGCAAACAAAACTACCTATCATAACAGAACCATTCCGATATGAAGGGAGGTATCAAAATGATTTGATACATGCGAGTAACTTGAAACTGGAAGAACATATGTCAGATAAAAAAAAGATGAGCAATGTATTAGAGTGCAATAGTATTTTGCAGGAACATACTAGCAGAAAGCATTGCACGATACTAACAAAGTCTGCAAAAGGCAAATATCAACAATGAAACACTATACATGGGACTTATTAACAAAGATCCGCCGCATATTTGGTCGAAACATAACAATTCCTTAGATTTATATAAATCAACAATCACTTCAAGTTCAGAAGGAAACCCAGTATATTGAAACATTGAACCAAATCAAGCATATACAAATTTGTATACATGTTTGTCCCAATTTGCAGTATCAGAACACAATTCTGCAATACCCTCTGAATATGAAGAAAATGGAACCCAGGAGGCAATAAAAAATTTTTTATACCCTCGCTTCTCCCAGGAAGCCCCAAATCCATGAAAAGAATTGAAATGGAAAATGATGCAAAACCATGCACAACAAAAAAAGCAAATAACACATCATATTGGTGGGGGGAGGATTAGAACCGGGAAAAAAATTCTGAACGATCCATACATCACACCCTTCAAGGTCACATCACCTTGACTTCACCAAACAACAACCAATAAAAAAAGCAATTAATACGTCATAGTGGTGGGGGGAGGCCGAGAATCAGCTGTAAACAACTACTTATGGATTTTCTGACTTCGCAATGAGACTGATGACCTCATATCTTCAAAATAGATCCCAAATAGTTCACTGTAAGAATCAGAGCAGTTCAAGTTTGATAATCCGCAAAGGTGTTCTACAAGGAAGTGTTTTGGGACCACTATTGTTCTTGATTTATATAAATGACCTACCCAAAAGAATAAACGCATTAACAACCTTGTTTGCCGATGATGCTACCTTCACAACCAGAATCGAAAAAAAATCCACAAGAATTGATGAAATGATAGGATCGATCATCAATCAAGCTACTGAGTGGTTCACGGCAAACGAACTAAGCTTAAACACACGCAAGACTCTTATTTCCAATACCAAGCATACTGCCAATCAGAGCGTAACATTTTTAGGACATATTATCGATCCCAACTTAAATTGGAAACTTCAATTAACAAGCAAGTTATACACGGATGAAATAGCTAGTGAACTTGGAGGCAGCCATCTCAGCTTACCATGGAATGTTTTACTATATTATGACTTACGGTCAAATTAACTGGGGCCAATCTTGCTACACTCAGTCGATATTTATTATTCAGAAAAGAGTAATTAGAGCTCTGGCCGGTATAACTCAAAATGAAAGCTGTAAACTATGGTTCATCAACTTTAAAATACTGACACTTTCGTCAGCAATTGTTAACAATGAACTAATATACGTAAAAATGCACATTTATTTGTACACACTTAATGGAGATTCACACAATTATCTGACTAGAATGAGATCCCATATCGCTATTCCAAATAACAGATTGACCTCTACAAATAAAAAATTTATTGGTATCAGATTATTCAACTCTCTACAAGACTATCAAGATAGCCATTTATAAAGCAAAACTGAAAACTCACTTGCAATGCTCTGCCTATTATGACACCTCTGAATTCAGATTTCCTCAATGTTAGTCAATAAACTGTGTGTAACATTATTGAATCCATTTCAACAAACATGTAAATAAATTTTATAAATTTTGAAATTTGGAATACAAAAAAACAGTAACGTGAAAATGTATAAATATTATTGTGAAATCCAATATGTATATTCCATTCATAGACAAATTCTATTTAGTTTTAGGATTAGGTGTAGTCGATGACTTGTCAAAACACTATGTCGTGTATTACTGACCAATAAAGTACAATACAATACTTAAACATAGTTCTCCAGATGAAAGAGTTCCGTCGCATATTTCTGATATGTACCCCCCTTGGTAAAATCAAATGTGCCATGTCACTTGAACACTTTCCGTGAGAGTATCTGTGGAAAGAAGACAAATCTCCAACCTTTTTTCGATGTTTCAGGCTATCAAGGTTGCACGTGATGTGCTTTATACATGAAAACAATACTCCAAAGGAGATCTGATCTGAGCTTTATGAAGCATTAAAAGTTGCTGAGGTGTGTACAGTTTTCTGGATAGGATCAGTGTTCCAAGCTTTTGGGAAGCAGCCTATGCAATTCCAGAGACAAGATTGTGCAAAAAACATATTGGTATCCATTTCAACCCCAACCAAACTTATAGATGCAGGAAGCTGAATTGTCTGACCTGACATTATTATATCTGGTTCGTAGATATTTATCTTCTTGGAAAAAACCGATGCCTGGGTTTTTGTGGCATTGAATTGAACATGTTTACTTCCACCCCAGTTTGAAATCACTTTTAGATCTTCATTAAGATATGTAATCTTCTGCTGCCGTTGAAGATGTGCTTCCGTAGCCGATGTCGTGGAATTCGAATGAAATGACAAGTGTGCTGTAATTAGCAAAGCATATGATGGAATCGGCCGATACTCGATGAAAATCATTAACTAACGTATTCTAAAAACACTTTATTGTGTGATTTTCACTAGACAGTTTTACAAAAACGCAACACGTGTTTCGCCATACAATGGCTTCCACAGGCGTGTCTTAATAACTAATTCTAGACATTCAATGCTCTCACAAGACAGGTTGAAGTCTCCAAAATACTTTTACTTTTCAAGAACGATGATGAGCACTTTATCGGGGCCAGACGCCTTGTTGATATTTCGCTATCGAAATGTAATTTTCGTCATTATGGATTCTAGTGTGGGAATAGTGGATGGTGCCTTTTCCAGAAAATCGACTATGGAGTGAGACGCAAATTGTTCAGATAGTAGATCTGCTTTTTCTAAGGCTGTTGTTGCAATACTTGCGCGCCATACTTGGCGCGACACGCTACAAATGATCATACTGGAAATAAGTAACAATATTTAGATACGGATCTTCCTAATTCAAAAATATTGTGGGCTACTTTTTACCGTATATACAATGAGTGAGTTTCTTGAACTTTTTCGTACGCGTACGAGTTTTTCAATTGCATAAATAAATACGCTGACTACTTCTTGTGTGACCTTAACCGTCCTTTCTTGACCTCAGAAATGAAAGTCAAAATTTCCGATTAGTGTACCGATCCAATTTGCAGAAGACGACCGAAAACACCGGTTCCATTCCTCAATTTGAATATACATATATACTCGTAAACACCACTGATGGGCAGTGCCATCGTCACGGACCAGTGACCTATTGACCTAGATTCTTCAAGTCAACAGTCGCTGATTCTTTTTCTTGACTGCTAGTCGTGAAGTCTGTGTTAGTGCTGGATCTAACAAGTACAATATTCGTGGGTTCTTTATTGTTCATTGCGCGCGTGCCAAGTAAGCCAGTGGTAATTTCGACAAAAATGTGTTCAGTTCTGGACTACTAATAATCATATTCGTTGAGGTGAGATTCATTTCGATAACACACCACTTTTGAAAATGATTTTTTTTTGTCATTTTGGATAAAATTTCTAAATAGTACAAATCTAGTTGATTGATCAGAATTAATTCAATGAGTAAGTAATATCTCATAGCAAAATGAAAAATTGTGAATTCACTTTGTGAAAATTCCACAGCGAAATTTATTCGATATCATAATTAACATCCCTCAAGTATTCGATGATTCTACCTCAAAAAATTATAACAATGATCATTGGTGATTCAATGCAGTTCTGGAAATGATTTCATCATGAAAATGCATCGTCCCTTTCATTGTTTTATTTTAAAACAAATTTCAACATTTTGAAAATTAATTTTATTTCAATTCTCAGAAAAAAATTGATCTTTTGTTATTTGTATGTAAAAAATTATTAAATTCTATCTAGTCACAGAGCAGATGTTCTGAAGTCTTGAATTGAAGGATTGAAAGTATTGCAAGGAAATGAAAAATTATCTTCCAAATATCAAATTCTGCAAATAGATTTTGTATAACATGTCTAGTCAGTTAGAAGAAGCGAGGTTATAATAAATGAAGTCTTATCTTGAAAAGATTCTAGTGTTACTCACAGATACTCTAGACGGTATGCCCTACTCTTCTCCTGAAGTGGAAGGGCACGATCTCTTTAGGTCATCATGGAAAGGGTTACTTCAAGGTCAACATAACTTTTGTTTCTGATCGATTCGGTCGTTACTTGATGAAGATCCACAGTGATATCATAAACTACACTTTGAATAAAGTTTGTGGAGATCAAATCGTAAGGTGTTGTTCATGAAATTTGACATAACTAAGGAACTCAGATCACAGAATGTTCTACTGAACAAAATTAGATCTTTCAATAATGAAGCTGATCTATGTTTGAATAAAATGAATACAATTGTCGACAATGACGAATGAATCTATTCTGGGCAAAAATTGAGAGATATTCTTAAGAAAATAGAATATAACAACTGAAAGAATTCACGTCTTGTAATCTCGTCCATTTGGTGAACTTTTGAGAAACAATTGACATCACCATCCATTCGCCATTCTCCATCCAATGGTCAGCACATTATCTGAAAAATTCAAAGTTTATGGGGAAGTCAATTGTACAGCTTCCAATCGAGAAACATGGAGGCCTTTGACCATGTGTAGCATGAGTGTTTGCTGGCCAAACTTCGATGCTATGACTTGTCTGATCATTTTTGTGTATTGCTCTTCAGCTTCCTGAAAAAACGTTCCCTGCAAGCGACCGTCGATGGATATCTTTCGAATACTTTCACCATCAACGTTGATGTTCCCCAGGGAGCCATATTGTCTCCAACCTTTTTTTTATTGTATATCAACGACTTATTGAAAAAAAACAAGAATCCAATATATTGCTTTGCTGACGACAGCACACTTGTCCCGTCATTCCATTTGGATTCCAGGACTTCGGCCACGGAGGCACATCTTCACCGGTAGCAGGTGGTTGCATATCTTAATGAGGATCTAGAAGTGATTTCGAATTGGGGTGAAAGTAACCAGGTTCAATTCAATACCACAAAAATCTAGGCTTCGGTTTTCTCCAAGAAAATAATTGTCGCCGAACCGGATATAATAATGTCAGGTCATAAAATTCTGCTTTCGGCATCGATACATTTTTTAAATGGACACCAATATGTCTTGGCACAATCATGTCGCTGGAATTGCGAAGGCTGTTTTTTAAAAGCTTGGAACACTGTTCCGAACCGGAAAACTGCTCACACCTCAGCAACTTTTGATTCTTCATAAAGCTCAGATCAGGCCTTCTTTGAAGTATTGTTCTCATGTATGGAGCTTGGCCCCCAAACATATCCAAAGTTGCTGAATTCCATCGAGAAAAGAGCTATCTGCCTGATTGGAGACGCGAACATCACGTACAACCTTGATAGCCTGGAACATCGAAGTAAGGTTGGCGATTTGTCCCTCTTCTATAGATACTTTCACGGAAAGTGTTTAAGTGACTTGACACATTCAATTCCACCAATAGCGGTACATATTAGAAATATGCGACGGACTGTGGCCGCTCACCACTTTGAGGTTTTTCTCAGTTCACCTCAAACTTCACTGTTTAGGAACTCTTTCATATGGAAAACTGCGTTTATGTGGAATGAACTGTCTGAAGACGTTTTTTCAAATGGATTTAATCCATGGCGATTCAAATCCTGTGTGAATCGCCACTTTTGCACAGGCACCGCTCTGGAGGCACCTTGGGGATTTTCCTGTAGTGCTTGTGTTTGTCCTGAAAAAAATGGTTGCACTGAAAAAATTGATATTATAGCAATAGAAATTCTATTCTCTTTGGATTCAGAAAATCAAACATCACTTATGAAAACAAAATGAATATTGATTTGGGTGTATAGAAATATCTTTCTCTCGTCATACAAGAATTTTTCTCAATCCTGTAGTGACAGTTGCCCGTATTTACGTAGGTTCAAGGCAACGCAAGGTAGAGATGGAATCTCTCATGGAGTTCAATGTTACTGTGGTAACAGAAAGGTAGGGCCACAGACGTTTGGACTTATTTTGGGAGTATAATATTTGGGAGTATCATATCTTTTGGAAGATCTGATTCTAATATGACGGATATTCAATATCGCACATGAAATATAAGTTGAGCATATAGCATGGAATAATTATGAAATTTTATATGGAAAAAACGGAATACGAAAGTTCGGAAAGTTATACGCACATGGTAGCGTGATTTATCTTACAATCTTGAATGCTGTGACATCTTCAAGAAATATTTTTTAAAAATATGAAAATAGAAAAAGGGTGGCTCGGGTTTTTTCCATTTATTCAGCATCAACCATTCATATACTATCTATATTCCATTTCAGAGATCATTATGATTAATATGATATCAAAATGTTACTTCGACGACATTTTACTTCATGAAGACGCCATCTATGGGATTGACAGAGAACTCAATCATCGGATATCGAGGCTTTCTAAGGCGATCAGTTGCAAAACCAAACTTCGACATCGAACGCCAACAAGATTCGTCATCTGCCATTCACTGCGCTGTTTCGACCCGACATAAGTCTCATTAGTGGTGCCTGGCTGAACCACGAATACTTTGTTGAACTCAACTGTCCTTGAAAGGCAACATCTTTCACTGCAATGAAAGCTGCGTGAAATACAGAGCGAATCTCGTCGATGGTCGATATTGAAAAATGGCATAACAACTGAGGAAAGACTTTGGGTGTCTGGTATTCAATCAGAAATGCATTGAGTTTGAGCCCTAGTTTTCAATTAGTTGAACTAGGTGGAGGCTGTATTGAAAGGCAGATAGCAAATCTAGTCGGTGATTGGCGAAATCACATATGAATCATATTGGTTCTTGTTCACATGAGAGTAGATAACTATGTGTGATATGTGTGTATCCAATACGTAAGCAAGTTAAGATGGTTTGAGCTCGTCGTTTTTGAGTTGATGTTTTTACGGTATAACAAATGGTTTGACTCTGAAGCCCAGTGTAATGTGATTCACATTTTAATTGCTGGTTTTATATCCTGGTGAAGCCAAGTATGAGCGGGCAGGTTCATCACCACCTGATGTTTTTCTTGCTATTCTGTCTTCTATCTGGTTGCCTCCTATCCTGATGTGAGACATAGACCAGAAAAACTGGATTTTGAAGTTTTTTCTCTGAATAATTTTCAATTTGAAGCTCTCTTCAATTAGGGTTTGATGAGCTGGATCCAATTATAACAGTGACTACATAGCGCTTCAAGAATATGAAGCCGATTATTCAATTTCTTATTGGTATCATGTTCAAACGAAACCACTGACTGATTGTGTCCATACAAATTCTATCCCGAATTACTTTCTTTCATCAACTTCTTCAATAATGGTCTTTCTGTATTCTCCAATTCGAGAATGTCTACTTGAAGATTGTTTAACAAAAAAAAAATATATTTTGTGAATTATTTTAAACTTCGGTACTAATGACATGTGTCAATCCATCCAACCGGTCATTTCAAAGAATGTTGAAAAATTTTATGAACTGAAGCCATTCAATTCAACAACTTTTACATGAATACAGTTTCAGTCCGGTATGTTTTTCAGAAGCGACCTACTGAACTACGAGTATACCGATAATCTCAAGATGTTGCCTTTGTCTGAATATGTGTTAACTTGAAATTTGATGTCAGGGCTCGCCAGGTTACTTTCGTTTCGTTCTCAACCATTTTTCTTTTACACTTCAACGACTTGGTATTAAAGAATAATAGTCTAATATATTACTTTGCTAACGACAGCATATGTGATGGAATCGGCAGATACTTGATGAAAATCCATAACGTACTCAAGGAATACTTCGTAATGAACGACAGCATATGACGAATTTATGACGCTCGACCAGTAGGTTTACGTTGATTTGATTTGAACGTTTCGTTCGGGATTGTATATTTCATATACATATGTCATATATGTCTTTTGTTATCGGGTCGGGGTCGTAAGGATCCACAAGCTCCAACTTCTGAGGATTGTCTTTTGTAGGGGCCGACACGTGGTCGAAGAAAACATATATTTCATTCTATATATGAACATATATAGAAGTAGTGATAAGTATTGTGGGAAAAAATATAATAGAATTTTCGTGGTAGATTAATTTCCGTCTCAATGAAAAATTACCCATCCACTGCTCAACTTGAGAAAATGATAATACATTAAGCGATAGTTATTCGTTTTTCTGATATAAATCAATGGTTGATATTATACTTCACCTTTATGCACTTTGGGAGTAATTTGATAAGTGGATGTGGAATATCTGGCGAATATTTAACGGATTCCATTCATCTACTCATGATGCCAACTTGGTTGGCAAAACGCGCATCGAGAGAAATTGTTGTAGTTCTCTTATGTGGGAAAGCTGTATGACATAAAGTATTAAAAATTCCAGTTCATTTCATGAAAAATGAAAAATTCGAATGTATAAAAAATGAACGTAATGATATATTTTTCAA